CACACACACACACACACACACACACACACACACACACTCCACAGTCCCCCAGTCCGCCCTGTCCTGCCCCCCGTCTACTGCGGCCCATCTGTAATCCCATCCCCCACCCTGCACCCCCATATCTGTCCAGTCTCGCCCTGCACTCCTCCAAAACAAACCAGCTGTCTTGGCCGGTCGTGTCCCCGGGGGCGTAAACAGGTGCCGAGAGGGCCGCAGGGCCTCAGCATGTGACACATGGCAGCACGCTCCTCCAGTCTTCTCCTCCAACCTGCCAACACACCAGAGAGGAGAGAAGAGAGTGGTGTGTTTTACAGCTGCAGACTTGATTGTTATCACAGATGAGGAGCTGTTGATGGCTAATAGCAGCGAAACCACAGCATATAAAACTTTCTCATTCCATCAAATCATTGATGCAGAGTAAATGTTCCTGATGGTTAAAAAGTTTATATTTCACAATTATTAATGTAGTTAATAAAGATTTTCTATGTTGTATGTGACATTTTTATTTGTATTCATTAGTGTGCAGTGTGAATCTATTTATCCGACATCTTTTGGCTGTGAGCATGAAGGAAGAACCTTGACATGCCTTTAGAGGGTATAAAAATATACATCGCTGTGTGACCAAAATAGATAAAAGGAAAGGGGTCTGTCCTGCTGAGCCTGAAGCCAGCTGTATTTTTAGCACAAACTACACACTGTGCACAGAGAGGGGGACTGTTGGACGCAGGTCAATGCGCCTGTACACACAAACCAAAATGGTAACCACAGGTTGATGTTACTATTCGTGTATAAGTGTGAACTGTCAATGGAGGCATTGATTCTGAGGTTTACACTTAAAGATAAGATGTGGGATGGTAAAGCTGACAGTACTCCTTCTTTAATTTTGTCTCAATCACACAGTTTAATTTGGTTGTAAAACACTTAATGAATAAACTTTTTGTATGCATATTTTCCTGTGCTATTCGTAGCCTTTCTGAGGCCCTAAGTGTTACGTTATTCTGCCTTTGCCAGCTGATACCTTTTTGTTTTACATTACTTTAAAGTTGGAATTTGTAAATTGACAACCAACAAGTGCACCATCTCCTTTGTGCAGAGCATTGACAACTTTTACAACTCTTTCAAGCGCTTACAAATACGGCACCCAAGTTTGGAAACTGCTTTTGAGCGCAGTAAAGTCTTCCTTTTGAAGCCTAAAGAACAAAGGCAGCCTCACACCCTAAACTGTCCGACTATCACTCTCTGTATGTGGTGAGCTCAGCTGTGGAACACACTCTATTGTACATCTGGCACTTTGACTCCTTGACATTGTGTGTGGACTAGTGAGTGTGCGAGGGAGGGGGGTGCACGCATATGTGTAAGTGTGTGCAGACTATAGCTGCGGTTTTAGAGGGCTGAGCCACGCTGCAAACCAAACTGCCACCTTGTTGAGTAGGCGTCCTGTGTTCATATCTCTAACAAGCTGAGGCAAGTTAGTGGCTCGGTTTGTGTGTGTGTGCATGACTTTTATCACCTTCCATCTTACAGCAGCTCCTAGGTTATCTACCCATATGGAGACAAACAACCCAGTAGCAATGGAAGCCTTGTGTCAAAGATGCTGAATTTCAAACCCCCATAAGTCTTTGCACAGTAAACACACACACAGGAATGGATCCTTATGCAAAAGCAGTTAACATGGCTGCCTGTTGGATAATTAAGAGTGTGTGGATTTCCAAAAATAAAATGGAAAAAAAAGAGTCCTCTTAAAAGTTAAAAAGCTCAACTTTATTACCCTGCGGAGGGAAATAAGGAGGTAAGAACATCATGGCCCTCTTTGGACTATAATTACATTACGTAGATAAACTGAAACAGATGGATGATTTCATTTTGGGGGGTTTTCAAGAGGATTCATAAAGAAAAAAATAAAGCATATTTGTATATCTGTGCATGTGTGTGATTGTGACAGCTTACTAAAGGCACAGCCACATGTCATTTTTATCAGGGAGCAATAGCAGGGAAAAGGCAGAGATTGTGCAATATCAGGACAGAACATTTGGTCAGCTGCTCGGGCTGGCCTCTCGCAGGTCTGCTGTGCAGTCTGCAGCCTGAATGGTAACTCTCAGCAGCAGCTCCTGCATTTGCATTTGATGCAGACTTCTTGCAGACTTCTTGCAGACTTTACTCGGGGGGACCCAGCACGGCGGATGAATCTGAACTCAACAAAACTTTGCTGATCGGAGGTTAACGCAGCAAAGTGGGGAAAACACTAGTGAGGTACATTTGCTTCGATGTTTGAGCCTTTGGTGGAGTTAAAGACGTAGTTTAGGTGCGACTTGCGTTGGTTGTACTTAAAATAACTCCGGTTTGAAGAGGTGCAGACGGGACTAGCTTCCCTGGCGGAGTGGCACTAAATCCACAGCGCAACAGACTACCGGTGCACAGTTCACCGCTGAGCTCGAGCCAGACAGAGTGCGCTTAAACTGGAGGGTTTAACTCTGGGATGCTTCTGTGTGGCGTCTAATAAACAACAATAATATATATTTTAGCTCACTAACAACTTCATCTCCACTGTTTGGACCGTCTAAGGAGCAGTTTGTTCCCGTGTTTTGTCCAAACCGCCGGGACTTCTCGACACTGGAAGGACTTTAAACTGAACTCAAGATGTCAATTTTGCCTTTCACTCCCCCCATTGTCAAAAGACTTTTGGGCTGGAAGAAGGGAGAGCAGAACGGCCAGGAGGAGAAATGGTGTGAAAAGGCGGTGAAAAGTCTGGTGAAGAAGCTGAAGAAGACAGGACAGCTGGACGAGCTGGAGAAAGCAATCACCACCCAGAATATCAACACAAAATGCATCACTATACCGAGGTAAGGGGAGTTGGAGCGCTGTGTTGATGGTGACCGTGAAGTCAGCATCCTAGCTAGCTGAGGGGGGGCTACTCCAGTCCAGACGTTTAATTACAGCTTTGCTACACAAAACTCGAATGTTATCCCAGTGTTTAGCTAACTGTATGTAGCATGTTCACCTATACCTATATACACACATGTGTGGCATCCTCACTTGACTGATAAGTTTCCACTTCCTGCCTCGCGTCAATATTTCAAACCCCTGCTTTCCTTTACGTTGATTACACAGGTGGCTAATATAAGTTATGTAAGTATGCTTAACGAGCTAACAGTGGTCCATAAGGAAAGCTAGCAAATCATCGCAGTCAGTTAGCTGCCATGCCATCATATGTACACTTTGTTTAAGTGACCTGAAACATTTTCTGCAGTTTCTTGTCATCGAATTGACATTTAACTAAAGTAATGTTGTTGAATGAGGGGACATAGTGAGTGCATTGAGTGGCCAGCAGCGCACATGCAATGCAAAAGCACAAATGGAGTCCAAGTTATATAACTTGGCCTTAATCTGGGACGCTTTCTATCGCTGTGGGTGTTAGTGCGTAGGCGAGTCTGTGGAGCTGGGCTCCTGTGTCTCCTTTCATTGCATCTGTACAACCATTTGTCCATCAGTAAGTTATTTAAAATAAACAATCAACAACAAATTAGTTATTGTAGTTTTATGCATTAGGCTCAATAATAAGCACTCACTTCCATGCCTTGATGAGAGGCTGTTACAGGTAAGAGCTGGTGAGGTGTTGTTTGTAAACAAAGACGATGTCTGACAAAAGTCTGAGCAACAAAATGCAGTGTAGCATCTAACCAGAAATAAAGTGCAGAGTGATGTAGAAATACATAGTGGTAAAATGGACATAACAAACAGTAAGGGCTAGATGTGAATACCCTAGGTATAGTGAACATTTGCAGCAGTTACAGTAGGCATGTGTAGTGCAGATCCTAACACACTACATGTAAATTGCATTTTGAGATAAAAGGACAGCATCTATTATGTACACTCAGTGTCAGTTTTCTTTGCACACTCAGCAGAATTTTGTACAATTTACATACAGTATATCAGTGAGGGTGAAGCTGCAGTGACAATAATTATAGTCCATTTGATAATCGATAAATTATTTTCATTTTTCAAGTGAAAATATCGAACATCTGTTTTTTCCATCTTTTCAGTTGAGAGGTTTTGATGGTTAACTCTGTCATATGTGGTCGTAACTAGATATCTTGTGGTTTTGGACACAAAACTTTTGAGTTCATCTCCTTGGACTGTGTATTTAAAAGGCATTTATAACAATTTTCAGGCATCTTGACCTAACAATAAGTCGATAAATCAAGGAAATAATTGGCAGATGGATCAGTAATGAAAACAATCCTTTGACTGTATTATAAATAATGGAAAATAAGTGTTCAAAGAAATTCAACAGCCGCACAATCGACAGCCTCCTAAATGACAATGAAGTTGAATCAATGCCTCTTTATAATAGTCTCAACAAAAACTAAACATTGGAACCTTAATGAAAGTAAGGTATTGGTATTGCAGGGTTGTCATATTAGACTTCATTAGTTTCAGTTAGTTGTAACTAATAACCTGGCAACAGAGTGTATGTTTGCAGCTATTTTTACGTCTCTACTATTTTTGCAGGTTGTAAGTAACAAATAAAGGCCTCAAAGGTTTGCTTGTGTCCACAGAATCTCACTAGCATGTGTGGGCAATTTAGATTTAATAGCATACTGTGTGTCAGATGAAAATTGAACCCCGCGCAGGGCACTCCCACATTCTTTATTGCCACAAGTGTGCATATCACAGCTTGCACAGGCCTGGGCCAGCGTTCAAAGTTAAGCCTACCCGGAAAGTTAAATAATGTTTGTCATGATCCAGGTTTCATGTTGCTCACCACTAATGCAGAGGGGAAGAGGGAGAGTGCATTAAGATGACCCCAGATCAGAGCTGGCTGTCAGTGTGGGCTAACAGTGTCCCTGGAGAGCTGCTGTTTCTATTAATTCCCCTACGTTCTGGCTCACTGACAGCAGCTGCCTGCGTGTTTAGGCCTGTCCATGAGGAGGTCAGCTCCTATCTCTCTGACATATGAACTCCCTGATGAGGCGCATCGCTACCCCTCTTGATGACGGTTTGCCGTGATGCTGAGTGCCTGAAGAAGCAGGCGACGCGCATTGATTGAGTCAGTAGTTGCATCCGGTGGTGGATTAGCAGATCAAGTATCTGTTGAGGGAATTTTAGGTAGGATTATCAGTACTGAAAAAGGGGGAAACAGGCAATTTACTCATCACAGCTGATTCAGATGTCATCTCTTAAAGGGCCATGTGCCAGAAGTGGATTTTGAAATCTCAAGGCTTATGTTTTCCAGTTGTGTCAAACAAAGTTAAGGCTGTTTATAGGGTTGTCTTAAGTAGCTCCTTCCAGTAAGTTTGTCCTTCGATCTACCTTGCCAAGTGGTAAAAAAATTAGATGGTTAGGAGATTTAGGAAAGCCAGCTGTCAGCTGTCAGCTAGATGACATTTAAAACAGCATGACGGTCTCTGGTTAGAAGCCATGGTATCACAACTTGGTGTGTTTGGTCCAGACACAGTTATTTTTGGGTGTGGGCGGTGTGTGGGTGGTTTATGTGGGCGATGTGTGTGTATGTCCCAATATGTTTACACTGGAGATAAAGCCCGCATTCCATGAAAAAACATTTGTCACAGTCACTTTGATTTAAATTCCAATTCAAAGTAGGAAACAAAGGCCTTTTAACAGCACATCAGGTTGTGCCTATCGCTCGGGCAGGGCTGCTGCTTTACGTGCCTTTTAGATCATTGTGGTTTTCACAGTGAGCTGTTTTCACTTTTTTTCAGGAGCAGTAAGCAAAGTGAACGCTGAGGCTCCTGTCCAAGTTCAAGCCTTAGTCACTCAACAACGGGCAATTGTGGCATTGTGGTGTTGACCTACCCTCCCTCCCTCTTTTTCTCCCTCTTTCTCCTTTTAAAGTCCTCTCTTCCTATGAGCTGTAAACTTGGGTTAGTCACAAACACTAGTGTGTAAAATGCGTCAGGCCTTGAAAGTCTACTAGTTTCCAATGATGGATGTGAAGTGCGGTAGCCGGCACTGTTTGAACTTGAAAGGATGACTAACAAAAATGACTTTACCACATCGTGCATTTATTAACAGAAGCTAAGTCTGTTTCAGTTATGCCTGTGTGTTGGTAAATATGTGGTTAAAATGCAAATGCTCCATAACTAAATTTTCCAAAGCCCTCAGTGGCCATTGAAAATTTGACTTTTGTCCCAATTGACGACACCAGCAGTGAGTGTTAGTTTCTTTTAGCAATGATTGTTCCTTGACCTTAACCAAGACGATAAAGGTCCTGTAACCTTAAGGAAGTAGGGATTTTACCCAAACCACAGTGCTTCCCTAACATAAACCAAAAAAGTTATTTTAACCCTAGTCTCGCTCACCAGACCTTTCTCAAGAAAAGAAAGGTCTGGCTGGGCAGACTCTCACTTTGAGATTGAAGAAAAAAACACCCCGGCTGCTTGTACTTCTTTCAACCAATCACAGTCGTTCTGGGCGGTGCCACAGCAACGGTGCGCTTGCAAAAATATTGCCGGGGGGAAACAGGTTTTGGTGTAACACGCCCACAAAAATATCACCTACAGGACGCGAACCATGGCAGAAAAATGGCTACATCCCCGCAAGATCAAACACTGCAAAAGTTAGTAAAGGACGTGTTGAAAACGGTTGAAAACTGCTACACAACCGGAGGTGGTAGGGCGGGACTTCAGCGGGTGGCTCGTTCCGCCCAATGAGAGGCTGATCTATGCAGCGAACTTCTGCCCACTCAGACTATTTTAACCCAAACCATGACCTTTTCCTAATCCTAACCCTAACCAAGTCATTTTTTGTCAGACCAGGATGTTTTTTTTGTCTTTACAATAGTAATTTGTAACTTTTTTGGAAGGCACTAATTTGATGTTGTCCTAAGCTGTCAGAAAGTCTTATTTGTGTCCTTCTAGAGGACATTTACACACAGTATATTTTGTTTGTTCACTCTTTAAGCAGTCAAGCATTTACCAAGTTCCTTCTGTAAGACATGTATGTATGTGACTCTCAGTGTTATGTACTCTACACTTGCTGTTAGTTACGCTGCAACAATAGTGTACTGCAAGTTTCTATATTGGTTACTTCCTCAAGATACAATATTAGGTCTGAGTGCATACATTTCTGATGCAGGCTACACACATTTTCTCAAGTTCACACTGACAAGCAAACCTGTAGCAAAACTATATGTATTTAGTTTTGTGATTTAAGAAGGAATAGCAGTATTAACATCGACCCACACCAAGCATGCCTGATGTAATTAGCAGGCAGACCATTAAAGCAGACTTGTGTGAAAACTTCTGTCGGGCGTGTATTGTTTCCTGTAATTTTACACTGTCGCATTATGTAACATTTTGTGTATGTACCAAAGGGCAGCAACTAACAGCTATTTTCATAATTTTTTTGATTACTCAAGTCATTGTTCACCCTCTGAAACCCACCATAGACTGTTTTTGTCTTTTTATGGGGGAATCCTTCGAGGAAGATAGAAGGGTTAACAGTATATGCTACATAGAAGTGATACCTATACATCATTTTATCATCTTGTGTGTTCTTATACATACTTACCTTTCAAGAACATAACAGAAGTATGCCATTTAGGGATGTCCCGATCCAGCTTTTTCTCTTCCGATCCGATACCGATATTACAGCCTTGAGTTTTGGCCGATACCGATCCGATCCAAGCACGTATTATACATATTCACTTATTTTGTTGTCAGTCATGTTAGAAAAGGTTTGATCAAGCAAAGAACAACTACTTAATAAGGTTAGTTACAATGATCTACGACAGTTGGTATGAGAAATTGACCTGTTTATTGTTAACAGGGTTAAATAAACAAACTTTAAACTTGAACATTAACATTAAATAAAAAATACA